GAAGATTAACAAATAGATAAACGGAAACTAAGTTTTAGGCTTTATCCTCTGTTCTTGTTTAACAAAATCGATTTAACTTGTTACTTTTTTACCACTAAGCCATGATAGATTATTGTTAATATTTTTTTTTATTTTTTGGATGCTCAGAATGCAGGAAATAGCCTTTCACGGTTTCAAATTTCAAAAATTTTCTTGGGATTATCCCTCTAATAAGTAATGATAAATTACAGTTAATATTCTTTTTTACTTTTTGTGCATTTTTCCATCTTTTATTTCAAATACAACTATAGTTAGCATAAATTTTAGAGCAAATTTGGATGCTCAGAATGCAGGAAATGGCATTTCCGTGGTTCAAATTTCATAAATTTTCTGGGGGAGTACACCCCCACACACCTGACCATTGCTATCCTCGAGGCTATCCTCCTCTAATAAGTAATGATAAATAATGGTTATTTTTTTTTTACTTTTTGTGTGTTTCTTCCTTTATTTATTTCAAATACAAGTATAGTTAGGATAAATTTTGGAGCAAATTTGGATGCTCAGAATGCAGGAAATGACATTTCCGGGAGTCAAATTTCAAAAATTTTCAGACCCCCCATTCATGCGTGGTATATTTGCCACACACGTGGTTTTCAGCCATTGCTATCCTCCTCTAATATATTATCTCACAGAAAGGTCCCTTTTCAAAAAATGCCCCCCCCCCACACGGGAAAATCCTTAAAAAAGGCCCTGGAGTAATTCGGATACAATAGCGCGCTGAAGTTCGATACCTTTTTTTTATACACCCTGTATAAAGCCCGTTCTCCACTAGGCGAATTTATTCGCGCGAACAGATAAAAAGTAGGAAGCGATCCTAGCTACTTTTTCGCCGCGAATTTTTTCGCCGACCAATCACGTTGCCGGATTTCGGTTTTCGCTTCGCGTCGCGCGAACAAATTCGCGTAGTGGAGAACGGGCTTAATAAATCTAAAACGACGGAGCACTAAAGCATACGTCTGCCTCGGGCAAGACTTTAATGAGGTTAATTAAAGGGTATGGGCAACGAAAATTGCTTCATCTATCTTATTGCTTCGTCTGAAAGAGCATGAAAAAATAAGCCGATTGGCCGTTTAATGCTCTATTCTATCTCATCTAGTTCCGAAGTTATACGCTAAAATGTGCAAAATATAAATTGCTGATTCAGCACAACGTGTGACGTCTTAGCTGGGTAAGTATGTTTATTGAATACTACACTGAAGCATAGCTCAGTTATTATGGCCCCAAATCAAATGAAATTTTGGATACTGATTGTACATGATGAGACGCATGGAAAAACACTTCTAATTTTGTTGCCAAGGTAACAATGTCGTTCCCAGGCCCCTTGCGCCAATTTTATAAAACAGCTTTATTCAAGGTACTGATAAAAATAAAATAATATCAGAAGTATGTGTACGATACCTATGCATGCCGAAAGTTTACTTGCATGATAATAATTCGAAAATGACATACACATAGAGAAATGCAACTAGTTATTCAAAATCAGTGTAAGGGGCCTGGGAACGACTGTGTTGCCTTGACAACGAAATTAGAAGTATTTTCCCATGCGTCTCATCATGTACTATCTGTATGCAAAATTTCATTTGATTTGAGCCAATAATAACTCAGCTATGCTTTGGTTTACTATTCAATAAACATACTTACCCAGCTTATGACGTCACACATTGTGCTGAATCAGCAATTTATATTTTGCACATTTTTGCGTATAACTTCGGAACCAGATGAGATAGAATAGAGCAGTAAACGGCCAATCGGCTTATATTTTCATGCTCTTTCAGCTGAAATGCAATAAAATCAATAAAATTTTTTGTTGCCCATACCTTTTAAGACATTAATGAGGTTACGGTTGATTTTTCATGTCTGTTAAATATTTAATTAAACATCATTCAATATAAGAGGTAATCGCGAAACAAAGGATTTCGAGATGTTATGATTATTATTATTAATGGTTCATTATAAAATCGTCGCGCTCGATGAAAGCGAATTGCGAAATTATTTACAAACTTTAGTTAAAAGTATTAAAAAGTACCTTGTGTTACTGGCATTATATTACAACAATAGTTTACTGATCTATGAATTAATATCGAAAGAACTTTTAAATTTACAAAATTTACAAAATTTATAAATTATGTGATTGAATACACATAGTAGGAAAAAAGCTTTTCTTAAAACGCTCCGTCTTACAAGGAAACAGTGTTAATCTATTTCCGTACCTTAAATTACAATTGTGTCCATTGGCCCGAGAAGGTGGTATTAAATGATTAAGGCGTGAATCAGGCTGTCTGATTTTGTCAAAAGTTTTTATGCACAAACCATCACGTCTTGCGCGTAATGTCGAACATTTAGCTTGGTTCAGAGCAGCGTCATAGCTTAATGTGGGGTAGATTATTCTCATTGTGCGCTTCTGGACCCGTTCAATTTTATCTGACAAGTTAATGGTCAATGATGAATGCCATATCGGACAGCAGTACTCAAGCAGGGATCTAATAAGTGCAAAATGTACTCGTAGTAAATGAAACGGTGAAACTCCACTGCGCTTGAGAACTCGTAAGATGTGTAGTCTTTTTGATGCTTTGGTTACTATCTCACTGATAAGCAAATCCCACTTCAGATTATTCTGGATCGTTAAACCTAATACTTTGTGGGATTCTATTCTTTCAAGACTAATGGTTTCAACAACTAAGGTGGGTGGTGGCTGCTCAATATCTCGTCGAAAGGAGACAATCATCTCTTTACACTTTTTGGGGTTCAATTTCATATTATTGGTACTTGTCCAATTACCAATTGCGTCCAATTACCAATTGCGAATGATATTAGGGAGCTTAAAATCTACAACGCGAATTTGTGACGCGGACGTGCTTACCGAAGCCTAGTTTTCGCTTGTAAGCCTAGTCAGAGTTGTCAGAGTTTATTTCTTTGAGATTTGTGGCACTGTGATGACACGTTAACAGCCATATGAAATGATAGAAACCAGGCTTTATAGACTATTGTTACGAATGCACATTTTCCCGCCAAAACTACCATCCGGGACGACGTGATATTTGCAAAGATTCGTCGTCATAGAAGTCGTAAAAACTTATGATAAAAATATCTTCTTAATATATTGCTAGCCTCTGTTATGTTGCACATTTTTTCCAGTATAATTTCATTTTATTTACTGTGATACAAATATTTTAATGGAATTTGCAATCGTTTTAAAATAAAACTTGTTTAATGCGATGTCCGCGTCGTAAGTTCGCGTTGTAGATCTTAAGCTCGCTATTACTTACTTAATAATATACACAAAAATGTTTATTTACTCGACTGTGATTGGTTGATTTCAGTGCAGTTAATCCCAAACAGCATGCAGTGCAATTTTCTGTAATTTTTTGTAATCACAGTGCAATTTTCTGTAATCACAGTGCAAAAATCTGTAACAAACTGATCTGATTGGTGGAAAAACATTGTGATGATTAAATCAACCAATCAGTTTAAAGCAATTTAGGTTAAATTAAAGAAGTAGCGGTCACAAATTGGCAGATTGCCTCAAAACAATAAACAAACATGGCGCCGCGCTACACAAAGTAACTAGTTACCTTCGCGTGGAAATATCGGAAATGGAAATGCATTTACCTTAAACAAGACTAACAAAAATTACATAGTTGAGAGGAATTTGCAAGCTGTTAGCGTTGTATAATGTGATATAACAATGCCAGGAAAACTTTGCCAGTGGAATGTTCGCTATAAACGCGCAAGTTAAAACTACAATTATCTCAAACATTTTTATGTAAGTTATTAATAAGTAATTTTTTTTTAATTTAAACATATTTGAAATTAAATTATTTTCTCCAAGAACTGAAGCTCATCGAGGGAGATGACATATTAAAATTACTGTACAGTACTTGACAATTTAAATAAAAAAGACACACAAATAAAAGAAGATAATAAAGAAAAAGATAGCAATAATAGATGGTTATATGTTAAAGCTTAACAACAAAATGCAAAAATAGGTGTACTTTCTGACTTTCTGATAAGCTCGACCATATAGTTGGGAGAAGCAGTGCAGATATAGAGAATAATATTTGACGTTGAGCAGCATATAGCGGACAATGTAAAAAATAACGACTCAAAGTTTCAATAATTCCCCAGTGGCATTCGCAAAATGGGGAAGGTTTACAGCCAATTCGATACAGGTAGAAATTAAAGGCGCAATGACCAAGACGAAGTCTTGTCTGTAATATTGAGCTATATCTACTTAAGCCAGGCAGCCAGCCGCACACGAGAGAAACTTGCTGAGCTAACCGCCTCGCGTGGCAGCTAGCTCAGCTATGTATTTTCACCGCACACGTTGAGAAAACTACTCAACAACAACACAAATAACAAAACATTTGTATATTCCCCCATTTTGTCCTTATTCTGTGATTTTGTTCCAAGTCACATGAAGAAACCATGGTTTGTCATTGGCTAATTGATTCAAACAGCTCAGCACTTAGCTCACAACATCCGCAGACGATGAGATATTTTCATCGCGAGGCCAAAAATAGCAAACACGATAGACATTTTCCTCAAGGCGTCGAGAGGTTAAATCCTCACGAAAATTATCTGCACAGGAGAGCTACATGCTGAGCTAATCGCCTCGCGAGGCGGTTAGCTCAGCAAGTTGCTCTCGTGTGCGGCGGGCTTTAGCGATCGAAGTATTAATAGAGCGTATTATATTTAATAGTTACACAGAAGATATCTCGTAATTTTGATTTAAACAAAGATATAGATTACGTAAATTACGATCAAGTTCATTCCAAGCAGTTATTGACGATGGATAAAAAGATTTCTTCAGACGCGCAGTTTTAGAAGGGATGGAGATAATATTTTCGCATGATCGCAATGAATATTCAGATCTTTCACTAACCTGTAAAGCCCGCCGCACACGAGAGCAACTTGCTGAGCTAACCGCCTCGCGTGGTAGCTAGCTCAGCTATGTATTCTCACCGCACACGTTGGGAAAACTACTCAACAACAACATAATTGACAAAATCATTTGCATTTTCCTCCATTTTGTTCCAAGTCACATGAAGAAACCATGGTTTGTCATTGGCTAAAGGCCGGCGCACACTAGAGCTATGTGCTTAGCAAAATGTCATTCGTGACTGTTGGCGTAAGAAGATAGCTCTCGTGTGCGGGCGATTTACGAACGACTTTTGTCATTCGTGCCACTTACGCCAAATATCTAACATGTTTGATAATTTCTGCCTCGCGTGCCAAAATCTTTCCGTGTGCGGCGAACGAAAGCTATCTGCTTACGGATTGTCGTAACAGCGCATGCGTAGTTGGCGGCGCAAAATAAATTGCTGGCTGAGGCAATTTTAGAAGACAAACTTGTCGTGATAATGCTGTTCCAACAACTTGTCTACAAGCTTGCTTTTGGAACAGCATTGACACAACTTGTTAACAAGCTTGCTACAAGCCCGTTGAGAACATATCTTGTAGACAAGTTATTGGAACAGCATTATCACGACAAGTTTGTCTTCTAAAATTGCCTCAGCTAGCAATTTATTTTGTGCCGCCATCTTGGATGTTTACTTTCGTATACTACGCATGCGCTGTTACAACAATCCGTAAGCAGATAGCTTTCGTTCGCCGCACACGGAAAGATTTTGGCACGCGAGGCAGAAATTATCAAACATGTTAGATATTTGGCGTAAGTGGCACGAATGACAAAAGTCGTTTGTAAATCGCCCGCACACGAGAGCTATCTCCTTACGCCAACAGTCACGAATGACATTTTGCTAAGCACATAGCTCTAGTGTGCGCCGGCCTTTAGATATTTGGCGTAAGTGGCACGAATGACAAAAGTCGTTCGTAAATCGCCCGCACACAAGAGCTATCTCCTTACGCCAACAGACACGAATGACATTTTGCTAAGCACATAGCTCTAGTGTGCGCCGGCCTTAAGGCAGAATATCATGTAGGTAGGATGGAGTGAGAAGATTAATAATTTTATGGAGAAAAAACATCTTATGTAAATATCTTCTAGTTTTAAGATCTTCCCAGCACAGTTCGTTCAATAACCGACCTTTGCTTGTGCCTTTAATAGCACTTGTGACTACGCGTGCTGCTTCGTATTGGATTCCTTCTAAAACGGTTGCTTTCACATTCACTACATTGATCCCAGATGACATCTGCATACTCCATAACAGGTCTTATTAATGATAATAATAATAGCATGGTTTCTCGTGAAATTCGGATAAACATGTACTCGTGAGTTTTTCAAAGACCTCAAATAGCACTCCTCCTTCGGACTTGTGTGCTATTTTGAGGTCTTTGAAAAACTCACTCGTGCATGTTATATTCAAATTGCACTCGAAACCATGCTATTACCTATATGCTAATTATGCATGAGCATTTAAATGGACAAACTTAGGGTGTGATGTAATATTGTCACAAGGTGTCCTTTACCTTCGTTTGCCAGTTCTCTGGAAAATTACGGAAAGAATTGAGCGAAAGGTTGATTTGCACTTTGCAGTGATTTGTTGAGGCAGAATCTTTACCACAAGTCTTGTGCCTCTCAACCATTAAATTATTCCTCTTTACAGTAATTAGCTAATTTCGATTCGCATATGATTATGAGCGCGACATTCGAACGGCAACATTACTTAGATTATTGACGGAATATTCTTGAAATAACGAGCTCTGCTGGAAGGCTGGAATGGCGAAAAAGTCCACTTTAGCTGAATGTTCCGATTATGTGAAGGTAAGTAATGACTGTAATGGCTTCAAATCTTTACTCACTTAAAACACGAAAATACAGTCCATCGCAAATATATAGATGATATGACGACAATAGCTAGTGCAATATTTATTCAAACCAAAGGAGACATGAAAAAAGATTCAAATGATACCTCTGTCAAATTTTGGTCGTGATCTGACTCGGAATTAAAATTTTCTGACTTGCTGGTTCTTTGTTTGTGATGTTGTCTCCGAGTGTGTCGACACCAGCGGAAAGCTGAGAAGTTTGCTTGACAGTGCTGTGAATCGAACCCGCGACCTTTGGTTTGCTAGTTGCTAAACTATCTGAACCTGGCCTCTTTTACTGATTTAATAACACAATGAAATTGTCGAAGTCTGAGTAGATTTTAGTCCGGCAATTTTTTGTCCAACATATCCAATGCCAATAAATACGCAATATTCCCGAAAAATGTGAACAATGTAGTTTATAATTAAAATGCTAATTTTAGTGCAATTGACAGCAAAAATCTTTATTGTGTAACAACCTCGTACCCAGGGCTTCTGCGCTTATTGCTCTCAGAAGCCCTGGGATAATCCAACTCAGAACGTGATTTGATTGGTCAATGCAATACAATGAAAGTACCGAAAGTTATTCATTAACCGGGTGATATTTTGGCAACATGTCTGCTATCTCAAGGAGTGTATACAAAAGTTAAATGCTGGTTTTTGCATGAAAATACTTTTTTAAATCAAATTCTGGGCTATTTTGAAAAGAGCAAAAGAAGAAATGGACTATTTGTATTTGTAAATAAGCAAGAATGGCGAACAGAGTAAAAAAATTAACATAATAAAGCGAAACATTTCTCGTTCGAAAATTGAAATTTCAAGTATAAATCTACAACTTCAACCACGATATTCAATGTAAATATTACATAATAAAGTTTTTAATACCTTTTTTACCTTTATTTGATAAATTGTGTGTTGTATATTATTGCATTTTGTATTGGAATAGGATAAATTATGAATTATACACAAATATTTAAATTTACAAATTATTCCCAATTTGAGGATGCTGGGTGCACTGGCTCGGAGTTTGTATTAGTGCCTATTTATTATTGAGTTATTAGTGCCTCTAAATCTCTAATGTACAAGCATTGTAATCTGTTACTTAATACCATAAAGAAACTGTTGATAGCACATATATTAAATGACTATTAATCAAAATGAACTAAATTTTCGACCATTATATAGCATATTTCCCCCAATATTGAGGGAATAATTTCTCCTATTTATTTTTATAATAAGCCAATATTGCCCAACTGTGAAGTAAATATTGCCCGACTGGCCTAGTCTGCCCAACAATTGAGCCCAGCCCTGTACGCCTATGACCAGGCCTACAGGTGGACCCCCAACCTGATTGGTCACAATTTTTCTTTCTCCAAAATTTCCCCTCCCCATGTACAAGGATTGACAATTTGACAGTTTGATTAGATTTGAAAAAAAAAACACAGTTATATTGGGTCATTCCAGAAAACACCCATACCACTCCCACAGAGGAAATTGAAAGTTAATCCCTTCTACCCCTTTGGATGTCCTAATACATTTACTATTATCAGAAACAATTTTTCCCCCCTCCCCCTCTGAACGACAGAAATTTCCTCTGTGGGGGGAGTGTGGATATTTTCTGGAACGACCTATTTGAGAAATGCTTTTGCACAAATTTTAAATTTTCTTACAATCTTCTTGTATGTCAGAACACTGTTCTAAGTTGCAACTAAAATTCAGAGGTCTAAAAAGCTCATGTCAATTCTAGTGGTGTAACCAGAGGGAGTGGGGGATCAAAATATTTTAAATGTTCTGAACTTGTTTGTAATTAATTAGAGTTGAATATGTGTTAACTGCAAGGTTATTTCAAATCACCAAAACACATTAAAATAGCCCCCCAAAATGGCACTTTATTAACTAGAATTTAAAAAGTCTACATTGTACTATATTATACATGGATAGCTTGGGAGTCCAAATATATTTTTACATACTAACAAACTTTATTCAAACTAGTGCAGGCCCCTCCTGGGGATTGCAGTCCCCCTTGAAGGCATCAATTAGAAATTCTGGCTACATCACTGCTCAATTCCATTGCCAATGATGGATGGTGTTAGCATGATTAGACAGAGCAGATTAACAAACTAGTGTGTATTATGAAATAATCCATTGAACACCAATGATCTATCTCAACATATAAAATCATCTGGTGCAGTGGTGGATCCAGCAAAGTTTTTTTGGGGGGTGCTAACCAATGGCGAAACGAGCGCCTAAGGCGCAAGATTTCTAGGGTGGTCCAGGGGCATACTACCACGGAAAATTTTTAAAATTTGGGTCTCTGAAATGGCATTTCCAGCATTCTGAGAAAACATTCTGGAAAATTTTTAGATTCTCAAAACATTTAAAAATTTAGAATATTTAATATTGGCTATTTCACTATTGTCAACTAGTGATACGCAACTGAATTCCTTAACATAAGTTGGTTAGAATTAGGATAAACATCATTTTTGCACCCCCCCCCATGCACCCCTGTTGACCAGAGCCTGGGGGGGGGGTGCACACCAGAGTAAAATAAAAAGTAAGACAAAATGTATAACTTAATAGGTAAGGTTAATGGCCAGAACTAAATGATAAACAATATTTTATAATAAACCCAAATTAGTTCAGCACCATTGGTTCTTATAACACTGTTCATTCCAATACTAGAACATCAGCAATTAACAAAAGTTGGAGTTTCATCCGATGACATGTATGCTTCTAACCATGCTGTCCATGCAGCTATCTGACAGTTTTTAATTTTCAACATTGATTCCCAAAGCCATTATTCTCAAGATTTGCCAAAAAGGTTTTCCAAATAATCACTCATCACTGTTCATTTTACATTCTTCAAGTAGATGCATGTTTACAGCACAGTGTATCTTGTGTATTTATAATTAAATCTTGCAATATCTTGTTCAAAACCCTCAAATCCAAGATAATCGGCAGCCAGCCATGTTACCAGTAAGATTTCTAGTCTGTTGATTTTGAAATGACCAATGTTGTACTCGAATATAAATATTTATACTTTAATTATTGAATAGCCCCTGTATATCGCTGACAAGGTATGCTGTTGTCGCGATATAAGATGTTCTTTTGCTTGCCAAAGGGCTTATTTTACGCATAATTGTATCTCTAAATTGATCATTCCTGACTTTAAATCCCAAAAGCCACGCGAGAAGGAGTTTAAGGCGTCTTTACAAGTCCAAATATATCATAAATTGCAACAAATAATCCACTCTCACTCCTTGCGTAAAAATATGCCCAGTCAGCGTTTTTAGCTGGAGCTACTGTTTACTTCCGCTTCCGGGGGCACCACTGTTCTATGGTGTTCCGGTTTGGATTATCCCAGGGCTTCTGAGAGCAATAAGCGCAGAAGCCCTGGGTACGAGGTTGTATTGTGTAACAGCAATCTCGTTCCCCGAGCCTGCGATCCTTGGGAAGGAAACGAAGGCTCTGGGATAATCCATCGCAGACATACAGAAAACTGTATGTCGACCGAACTGCGCATGCGTTGGCAAAAGCAAAACAAATTGTTTGAAATATTTTATTGTTTCGTCTATAAAATGATTATTTTTTCGGGGTTTTGGTGGAAATGTTGATGTTCTTCATAGTGGGATACAAAAGGTGTGTTAGCGACTGAATAAAGAAAAGATTGCGTGTGAAACAGGGTCAGTATAGAGCCGGCAGGAGCCGCGAAGAGTGCTGTTGTCAAAGAAAAATGTCACAATTAATTGTAATCTTGTCCATTGAAAAAGCTTTAAATGTAGAGACATTTGTGGTTCCTCCAGCATAATTTAGCCGTTTAACGCTATTATGTTTCTAATGGTTGAAAGAGCGCGTGGAAAGGGCAATTTTTAAGAACAAAAACAATTACAATGTACTGTGTGTTAATTGCTACTGTAGTATTAAAATACCTGAAGAGAGTCTCAATTCTAATATTAAGTTGGTTATAAACCTTGATAATATTAAAGTTTTCAGAAGATTTGTAGGAATATTAAAAGGAATTTAGACTTATAAAACATATTAGAAATATGAATATAGTGAATTCCATGTTTGTATTGTGTTTAATATCATCTCTAGAAATTAACAGTGTATAAACCAAATCCTTGTTATACTTTTTAACTGCCCTTATAGCAATATTTGCAAGCAGTTTAGTAGGTTAGGGATGCAACAGCACTTTTCAAATTATTGAATTATAACCAAATTTTGTGTCTGGATAGGAATTACTATATTAAAGATTTACAGTTTGTAATGATAGAGTTGGAGCAAGTTAAGCTGCAATGTGCTTCAGTTTGTTCAGTTTGTCCTACTTTGTTATTTTAAGCTGTTTAACGCCAGAATTATTTGAATGGGTTAACCAGTCTATCTGCTAGCCTGCGTGCAGACTATATAATGATATATATATATATATATATATATATGTCATTATATAGTCTGCATGCAGTCTATCCATCTGCATGTCTATACCTATCTTTGGTTAATTAGATCATTAAGCCACAATGCTCTTTAGTGCACCCTATTTTGTTATTTCACTG